AAAACTAGCGTTGAAGACCGCCAGTCCATCCTTGATGCCTTTCATGAGCAAGTGGACATCCCGGTGTTCATGCTGTCAACAAAGGCCGGTGGTGCAGGGATCAACTTGGCCTGCGCTAACAAAGTGATAATATTCGACTCGAGCTTTAATCCACAGGAAGACATTCAGGCAGAAAACCGTGCGCACCGCGTCGGCCAGACCCGTGAAGTCGAGGTTGTACGCCTTGTGACAAGAGGGACCATTGAGGAACAGATCCATGCTCTCGGACAAACCAAGCTAGCCCTGGACCAGAGAGTGGCAGGGGAAGATGGAGGCGCACAGTTCGGCGGAAAACGGGACGATGAAAGCCTCAAGGCCGTGGAGGAACTGGTCATGTCGACCCTTGACTTAGAGCAAGCGCCAGAAGAAGTCTCTTAATATCATCCCATGCATTTTATCTTTTACTATCTTGCACCATCTTGCACAGCCGGCCATCTCTTTTCTTACTTATTCCCCCCCGCTTCTCCAAAGGAAATAGCACATAGAATACTCCCCATTTTGACTCCGCCTAGAATAGAGACCACTTTCCTCGCTTTCTTTTTCTCCGGATTGAAGAATGCTCATGTGAGACGGCTGGCGATACCCCTGGTTAATATCGGTTCTTCTCATCATCTCCATTATCATTGTTGTCTTGGGCAAAACTTCCACCTGGTTTGCTGCGTGGTCATCCAATCAGCAGCCTAACTATCACTGGTATCCGGCTCCCTCCCTCCGTTAGAGTTAACTCGAGTCCAAAAATGCCACTTAGCTGTGTTCCTGGCCTTCCTGAACCTTCTAGCTGAAGATAATCAGGGCCTAAAATGCTATGAAAATAGATAACTGTATACGTCCGAGAGTCTATTCCCCATAGTTGGACACTGACCAAGCGTGTTGTCAGGCCGACATCAGAATCTTCCAAAAGACATTCCCACGATGCAGCCAAGCAATGTCTCGCCTCAATGGCGCCGGTCCAATGTACCAAGAGTAGATGTAGAGGCCACAGAGAAGCCTCTTAGATGGCCGGTAAGACATACCTTTTTCAGCCGTGTCAACGATATAAGACCGGAATATTAGTCTGTGAGTAAGTATGGCTTCCTTCTTAGCTTCTTAGCTCGTTTATTACCCCTGGCTGCAGATTTCTTATATCGCACCTTTTATACGGAGAATACATCTTGTCTAAATGTAGGGACGGGATGTTTTAACGGAGATCCTCGGGAAAGCCGTTTTGGGACACATCTTTGACGTCCTCTCAACTTCCACACCAACAACAATAATAATATCTTGAGCGACGGCAGACAACACCAACGACAAAAGTGACAGGGAAGCCGTATGCATGCCACAGTTAATCTATCCCTGGTCATATGAGAATCCACTGGCCGATAGTTATGCTTATGTACTCCGCTTTCAGGATTAGTTGTTGCCTCCGCTGTTGTTCTACCCCAGAGCCATGCCTGTGGCGGGAACAGCGTTATCTCTCTCGCCCACTTCGCTTCGACCCAAGCAAGGGCATCAACCCATGGCATCCGTATAGGATAGTTGTTATGGGAAAAGATCATCCGACTGTAGCCTTTTCGAGTGGATCTGGCAGGTCCAGGAATCCTCCTCGACCATGGGCATGGGATAAGTCAAGTCAAGCAAGACTTTCTCCGCCATGACAGCAGCTCACAGATGGTGATACAAGGCGAAAGGCAATACGGGAAGAGCTCATTATACCTGTTCAAGGATTGGGGGTGACAAGATCTCGATCCTCTCGGCATGCTCTCCAGGAAGAGTTAAGTTAAAAATATCAATGACATCCCCTCCAATAGTGTCCCTTTTTGACAAGAAGTTCCAGCACTCGCCATATCCCTGCGTGCTTCTCGTGATGGTCACAGGCCTGCAATAAAACAAAATTCCGGACCAAGGACGACGAAGAGAGCAAAGGAAATTGCTATCTTTTGCCTCTCCGCCGGCGTCTCCATACTTATTTACACTTGGAAGACCAAGTCATGCCGCTTCTTACTTCGTCTTGTTTCCGCTGTTAGTATTTCCGGCTCCGGGGATATTTGTTTCTTTGGGGTAAATGGAACCTCCTGGCCTTGGCGGCTGTGGGGAGCAGCGAATTTCATCCCGAGGTCAACAGACTTATACGAGATCGAGACAAAATGCCCAGATATCTAAGTGCTTCTAGACGACTTGCAGAAGACAACCAGTTGTTGAGAGGCAGAGAAAGATTCCAAGGGAAAACACAGACGGAGATACTAGGTCACTCCCTGGCGGCTCTAGTTGTGACTCTTACCTACACGAAATGATGGAGGATACATGCTCTCCTGCTGATGATACAGATGGGCAAATCCATTGCACCGTTATCTCGCTCTGTGAGACCCCTTCCTGCCAAGGAAGCTAGACAGCTGAAGCGAGTTGGGAAGGCATGATAGGGAAGATCCCTGCCTGCAGGGATCGACAGCGGAAGAAAATCAACTTTGCATGGGGACTTTAGCTGGGAAGATGCCTGGCCTGCAATGCAAGTTATACGCTCGCCTGAGTCCAGCTCAGCAATTGACTTGCGGGGGAAGGGGCGGGGATAAGCAGACAAGCCTCAGCTTTCCACGCAGGACGTAGTGCCAGATTCCTGTGAGATATTCACCCCGAAGGAAGCAAAGTTTGGGCTCTGCTCTGGGTTCTTGGGATGCACATCCATGTGCTCAGATAGCGAAATCACGAACAACCGGCAGGTTGCGGCCATGATCATGGGAAATTGGTCCCGCATGAAGCCGAGCGAAATTGCATGATAGGATAAGAGGAAGAGGTACGGGTTGATGGGAATAAGATACCTTTTGGCCTCAGTATATTAAGTCGGCTGGTATATATTAACCAGTGTCAGACCCAACCTTTCGAGGAGATCGGCAGGATCTTCGACAGAGAGGAATTCCCATATCAAGCCTCCTTCTCCCCAGGTTGCCCTTCTCCCTTCGTTTAGCAGAGCACAGCATATTCACCATGAAGTCGCAACTGTTGAGCCTGGCCGTGGCCGTCACAACCATCTCCCAGGGCGTTGTTGGTCAAGAGCCCTTCGGATGGCCTTTCAAGCCTATGGTCACTCAGGTGAGTTGCTCTCAACAGATCGATCGATCAATCTACCCCTTCGCCCCTGTCACCTATAACTCCACTGCAGAACAAAAAATCACAATGTTCCTTGGAAATTCTTATGTGCTGATCTATATGTATAGGATGACCTGCAAAACAAGATTAAGCTCAAGGATATCATGGCAGGCGTCGAGAAGCTGCAAAGCATTTCTGATGCTCATCCTGAAAAGAACCGAGTGTTTGGTGGTAATGGCCACAAGGACACTGTCGAGTGGATCTACAATGAGATCAAAGCCACTGGCTACTACGATGTGAAGAAGCAGGAGCAGGTACACCTGTGGTCTCACGCCGAGGCCACTGTTAGTGCCAATGGCAAGGACCTCAAGGCCAGCGCCATGTCCTACAGCCCTCCTGCCAGCAAGATCATGGCTGAGCTTGTCGTTGCCAAGAACAATGGCTGCAATGCTGTATGTGCCATACACTTTCTATACGTCACATTCTCTCTAGAATGAAGAGCACGGGAGAGCTAACTTAAATTTTTGCATACAGACTGATTACCCAGAGAACACTCAGGGCAAGATCGTCCTCGTTGAGCGTGGCGTCTGCAGCTTCGGCGAGAAGTCTTCTCAGGCTGGTGATGCAAAGGCTGCTGGTGCCATTGTCTACAACAACGTCCCCGGATCCCTTGCTGGAACTCTTGGTGGCCTTGACAAGCGCCATGTCCCAACCGCTGGTCTTTCCCAGGAGGATGGAAAGAACCTTGCTACCCTCATTGCATCTGGCAAGGTTGATGTCACCATGAATGTTATCAGTCTGTTTGAGAACCGAACCACGTAAGTAACTCAGCGCCATTTCCAGTATCAATTGCCACGGGTATATACTAATTCAGTATCTCATAGCTGGAACGTCATTGCTGAGACCAAGGGAGGAGACCATAACAACGTTATCATGCTCGGTGCTCACTCCGACTCCGTCGATGCCGGCCCTGGTATCAACGACAACGGCTCGGGCTCCATTGGTATCATGACCGTTGCCAAAGCCCTTACCAACTTCAAGCTCAACAACGCCGTTCGCTTTGCCTGGTGGACCGCTGAGGAATTCGGTCTCCTTGGAAGCACCTTCTACGTCAACAGCCTCGATGACCGTGAGCTGCACAAAGTCAAGCTGTACCTCAACTTCGACATGATCGGCTCTCCCAACTTCGCCAACCAGATCTACGACGGTGACGGTTCGGCCTACAACATGACCGGCCCCGCTGGCTCTGCTGAAATTGAGTACCTGTTCGAGAAGTTCTTTGACGACCAGGGTATCCCACACCAGCCCACTGCCTTTACCGGCCGATCCGACTACTCTGCTTTCATCAAGCGCAACGTCCCCGCTGGCGGTCTTTTCACTGGTGCTGAGGTCGTCAAGACCCCCGAGCAAGTTAAGCTGTTCGGTGGTGAGGCCGGCGTTGCATATGACAAGAACTACCATGGCAAGGGCGATACTGTTGCCAACATCAACAAGGGAGCTATCTTCCTTAACACTCGAGCAATCGCCTACTCTGTCGCCGAGTATGCTCGATCCCTCAAGGGATTCCCAACCCGCCCAAAGACTGGCAAGCGTGACGTCAACCCCCAGTATTCTAAGATGCCTGGTGGTGGTTGCGGACACCACACTGTCTTCATGTAAAGAGATGTTTTCATGTTAATGTTACCAGCTTATGATGATGATAGCTTTAGAAATATATATACCATTTTTAATTTATGTTCTGAGCTTTGTTGCAAGTATTGGGAGTTTTAAAAGTACATTATCATTGTTGTAGTTCTAAATGTTAGAAAGTAAGTTTTACCGTGGTTGATGCTCCGTCCCCTAAACGCCGGCTGTGTAGAGTGAAGATGCAGAAAAGCGAAAAGCGTCCACCGACGAAATGTTTATGCGGTGATTTGGTTGTTGAGGGTATCACCTCTTAATACATTCGAATCCAGCGGAATGTCAACCTCTTTAGTAGTAGTGGTAGTAGTAGTAGCAGTAATAGGAGTAGAAGTAGCTGAAGCAAGGAGAGCTGGGCCAAGGAGCTCTGCACTGCGCTGCAGGCCAGCCTCGGTCCTGTCCGAAATGCCGAGTATGACATCAATCTTGTTTGCAGCAGGGAGCAGGTCGTTAAACCCCAAGAGGGTGCAGCAGTGTGTATATGTCCGTGCAGACTTGACAGCTTGAGCGACCTTGTCCTTGCCGGGCAAGAATATATTTAGAAGATACTTTGTATTGCCCCATTTATTCTCGCACTCCATGGCAACAGCGACGTACTCATGCGCCAGCTCACGCCAGGAGACACATCCACCATCTGCAGCACTGCGGAAGCAGGAGAAGTTTGACTCTGCTGAGGTAGCTATCATGGCCCCGTCAACGTCGTACTGGCTCATGAGCTCGAGGGCATGGTCTCTGGACTTGACGTCTCCATTCATAAGGCATGCCACGCCCGCGGAGCGACAGATGGAGGCTATCATGGGCAGCTGGTCTCGGATAGCGGCCTCGCGGGGCCGCATGGGTGTGGTGCGGCAGTGGACGGTAAGTCCCGTGATACCAGTTGCGCAGAGGGCGGTGACTAGGCGTTCGGTGTCCTTGGGGTCCTTGAGAAGGCGTATTTTGACGGAGATACCAATCTGCCAGGGCCGGCCTACCTCGCGCACAAGTGCTTCAAGGATCGAAACGAGCTTGTCTGGGGTCTGCAGGAGGGCGGCACCCATGCCTCCAAGGGTGCTGAAGGGTTTTGGGCATCCGGCGTTGACATCGATGCCAGAGACATCGTCGGCGATTACTTTGGCTGCCTCGACGGCGAGTTCTGGCGAGGCGGTGCCCAGCTGGAAGACGAGCTTGCCCTTTTCCCTGGCGGGATCGATGCGGTAGATGACGGAGACCTTGTCTTTCGCATCTGGGCCCGGGTGGGAGGGCACGCGAGTGAACTCGACGGTGTTGTTGCGAGGGTTGATGCGTCTGACGGCGCCGATGAGGGAGCGGTCGATGGTTTCGGGGCCCCAGACGAGGTCTGCGCCGTACTTCAGCGAGACGAGACGTGAAGGCAGCTCGCCGGAGCGCACCATGGGCGCGAGGACGATTTTCCCACGATAGTCGACTCCATTTTTCGGGATGGGCACTCTGGCCTGAGACGCGACCGACGACGATCCCAGGGCCATGACGGAGCGGACCAGCCTGTTCATATCATTGTCTGCCGTTTTTCCTGGGCTGTCGTCTGGTCTGGCTGATTATCTGGCTGGCTATCAGTGACTGATCTCTAATTCTCTTTTTTGGTGAGCGGAGTTTTTTCCCTGTGGACGGCGTTAAGATTTATCATCGGCTTACCTAATCACGGCATCTAGACCGGGAAAATCTCCAACGGCAGAGAGCGAGAAGCGCCAGGAACACCAAGGAACCCGCCAGAGCGCAGCAGCAGCCAAAGAACGACGCAGAAGGGGGATTCTGCAGCGAGAGAAAAGGGTATCAGGAGACGCAAGAGCATCAATTGAGCCTAGGGAGACGTGTTTTGGCTTTGAAACCGTCGCAAGACTCATCCCAGCAGCGATCCTTGCGTGCAGAATCACGACATCAGCACTCGGCATTGAGGCCGTCGAGAGCAGTTCAATTGAGGGCCAACTAGACTCGGGCCGTGTATTCAGGCCCTCTCGGGGTCGCAATAGCCATCGATCTCGTTGCCGTTGCCATCGCCGTCGCCGCTGTTGACATCCATTGCTGTCGTTGCCGTTGTCGTTGTCGCTGTCGTTTTTGCTGTGGAAGCCAAAAAGAGAGAGTGAAAGCGGTGACTGCCCCTGGGCGTCTGAGGATGGCCGGCAGAATCGCCCCCACAATCTCCGATTCTGCCCTCGCCGCTTACTCGTCTGGCCGCAACTCCTGCGTCGCTTGCTTGTCCCGCTTCACCTCCTCCTCCTCCTCCTCCTTTTCTTCTGCCTCTCCTGCTTCTTCTTCTTCTTCTTCTTCTTCTTCTTCTTCTTCTTCTCTCTTCTTCAGGTCTCCAGCTCTCTCACCATCCAGACTGGCGCCAGCAAGCATCAGTCGAACAGCCCTAGTCTCACGGCACCTGTCTACTTCTTCGTCTTCGTCGTCGACCAGCAGCAAGATGGCTTACACCGTCCGCAACGTCGGCGCCCTCAACACCCTCGAGTGGCGGGCCTACATCGAGAAGGATGGCGTCCCAATCTCGCCCTTCCACGACATTCCTCTCTACGCCAACGAGCAGAAGACCATCCTCAACATGATCGTCGAGATTCCTCGCTGGACCAACGCTAAGCAGGAGGTTTGTCCCGCTTCTCTCCATGGAGGGGCAACCAGCCGTATACTCACCACTCACTGACCGAGGGCAGATCTCCAAAGACGACTTCCTGAACCCCATCAAGCAGGACACCAAGAAGGGCAAACTGCGTTTCGTCCGCAACTGCTTCCCCCACAAGGGCTACCTCTGGAACTACGGTGCCTTCCCACGAGTGAGTGCGCCCTCCAAGCCATGCATCAGGGTGAAGAGAGGGGGGAACAGATAAGCTAATACCGACTCGAACAGACCTGGGAAGACCCCAATGTCGTCCACCCCGAGACCAAGGCCAAGGGAGACAACGACCCTCTCGACGTCTGCGAGATCGGCGAGCTCGTCGGCTACCCCGGCCAGGTCAAGCAGGTCAAGGTCCTCGGCGTCATGGCCCTGCTCGACGAGGAGGAGACCGACTGGAAGATCATCGTCATCGACGTCAACGATCCTCTTGCTCCCAAGCTCAATGACATCGAGGATGTCGAACGCCACCTCCCTGGCCTCCTCAGAGCCACCAACGAGTGGTTCCGTATCTACAAGATCCCAGACGGCAAGCCAGAGAACCAGTTCGCCTTCTCCGGCGAATGCAAGAACTCCAAGTATGTCTCCTCTCTCTCTTATCTCATCATGTAAGTATACTGACCGGTGTAGGTACGCCATGGATGTTGTCCACGAGTGTGCTGAGGCCTGGGAGAAGCTCATGTCCGGCCAGTCCCCCGCTGGCGGCATCTCTCTGTAAGTTGCGTCCTTACTCTTTCCAAACCACATATATATCACCTACTAACAGATACAGCTGCAACTCCACCCTCGAGAACAACCGTGCTGATCCCTCCAAGGTCGAGGCCATCCCATGTGCCTCCAACCTGCCACCTGCCCCTATCGACGGCAGCATTGACAAGTGGTTCTTCATCTCTGGTGCCGCTGTCTAAATGCTCTCTACCCGTCCAATGACTCACTTTCAAGTCCTGCAGGAGGCGGTCTCTGTTTCATGCCGTAGATGTTCATAGATAAAATGGGACAGGGCCCACGGGCACCCCAGCTATTTACTTGATCATGTCCACTCATTGTATCTAGCCATTCAATAAATGAAGAAAAAAAAATTCCAACATTAATACCATTCCTCAAGACTTTCGAGTTTCCCTTGCATGCAAGAATACAATCAATTGTACAAATAAAATCTAATATACATTCCAAACACCCATAACTAGACCCGTTCAGCAATGCTTAACCCTTCAAGCTCTCCTCTCTCTCAATAAGTCTCCCTATTCTCCCAACTTCCTCCAGAACGTCCCCTACTGAAAGTCGTAGCTTGCCGACTTCTAGCTTCACCTCTTTGCCATTCCGGAAGCCAACCGTCATCTCGGGGAGCTGCTTCGAGTGTTTCGGTAGATGCTTTACGTCGATTTTTATATGTGCTGCTGATGACGGGGAGGCTGTCATTGGTGTTTGTAGAAGGGCGAGAACCAATTTGCACGGCCGAGAAAGTGGGGAGAGAGGCGAGAAGGACGTTCGGAAAGAGGTTATTGATCGTAGTGGCAGGGACATTTTTGCTCTTCGTCTTTTGGTTTTTTTTTTTTCCCCTTCTGTGTCTCCAGTGGTGGTATAAGTGCTCTGGTAATGGTTAGTATTTGACATTGGACTTCGAAAGAGGACGCACGTACATGGTATATAAAAGATATTGCTGTATTTATGTAATTGGCACTTGGTGTTTGTTGTATGGCTTGTTCTGCGTGAGATTGAAGATCCATCAACGTTCTCTTCCTTCAGCAAACGGGCGAATTTCATGTATCACGTGATGCTTCGAAAGACCACCCTGTATGTCTGTCAACATTAACTACAACATTCTTTAACACACACCTTCTTGAACTTCAACATTCATGAAATACATTTTTTCTCTCTTATTAGCAGAAAGTGGACAGCTGTGATACCCATAATGGTTGCTTCTCTACATTCCCGTCTTGCTTCCGTCGAAGCATCCATCGAGAGGGTCTCAGCCCTCATACGCCGCCTACATTCCTTTGGTAGCGCGGATGCCTACGACGATGATGAACGAATCAATCTGAGTACCGAAATCCACCAGGATCTCGGAGAGATAGAAGAGGAAATAGAAGTTCTGCGCGTGGAGACCCATCCTCTCGATCGAAGACGACATCAACGCCGTGAGAGCGTACCATTTGACGCGGACGCAGTCAAGAACGTAGCTCTCATGGCGAAAATAGAGGAGGATTTAAAAATGTATGAATCATTTTTTTGGACAGTTATGGTTGGCATCCTGGCTAATCTTGAGATTATAGGACTCGGTCGAAGTTCAGACGAGCTCAGATAGAAGCTAAGCGGAGCTCGGAGAAGGCGAAGAATAGACAAAGACAACTCCTCTTTCAACCGTCAGCTGAAGGAGAGGATGTTCCTAACAGGAGGACACCGAGATTCACTCATGGCGATCTTGTTGCAAGCTCGTCCAAGGATGTTACCGCTGCGTTAAGACAGACACATAACCTCATGCAGGCAGAGCTTTCCAGAAGCCAGTTTGCCCAGGAAGCTTTAGGTGAGCAGTCCTTTCACCCAAGGTTATAATTATCTACAGTGTGACTAATACACATTCCAGAACAATCAAACAAGGCCCTAAGTTCGCTCTCGGAATCATACACCAATCTAGATACCCTACTTGCATCATCCAAGTCTCTCGTGAGCTCGCTACTTCGCTCCCAAAAGTCAGATACATGGTATCTTGAGACCGCATTCTATATCCTAATCGGAACCATATCGTGGCTTATCTTTCGACGGCTGCTGTATGGCCCACTCTGGTGGATAGTCTGGCTCCCTCTCAAAATTGTCGCCAGAATCACATTTGCTATATTTGAAGTAACTAGCGGTGTCTCCGTGGCCGGTTCTAAATCCGTTGTGCCAAATAAGCCTCTGGTAACCGCTAACATGGGCCCGACCGCGACTAATTCTCTTTGGAACCCCGATTCTACTAAGAAAGCCGATGTTACTGGTATACCTGACATGGCCGAGGAGATCAAAAGCTGGACCGCTGCAGATCAGGCGGAGGAGGAGACTACAATGATACCAAGCGGCCCAAAGGTATATCCTAACCCTAAGAAAAGGATGTGGGAGGGTCCTCATGGGCATGGGGATGAACTCTAGTGATCTACCTTTAATGCTCGCTGTGGCGGGCGATCATTTGCCCCTAACGTCGTTAGTCAGGCGAACGAACGAAATAACGACCTTACTTCCGAGACAATTGAGTTAGCTCCATTCTTCCATACCATTGCTCTCCTTTCCTCCGTACCGAACAATTGCGAAATCGGACCTCAACACGGAAGAGGCAAGAAGTACATTCCAGCTGCACCATTTAATTAACAAGGTTATACCCCCTCCTTTACCGGACCCCTCCACTCCAGCATTGCATATTATCATTATTATTATATCTTGCTGGATGAAGCTGCATTGCAAGCCAAGTTTTTAGGGGGCAGTGCTGGGGATTAATGGTGTGCATGGAATAGGCCGAGAAAGGGTCCCAACTAAACTTCGATAGTCTTGGGACCTATATCATCTCATGGACTTGTACTAATATCAAGGGAGCATGGGTGGTCGGTACCTTCCACGAATATCCTCGGCGAACATCCAGTACTCGGCAAATACTTATAACGCTTGGAGGAATCCCGGCAATCTTAGTGCTTGGTCGATGCAAACTTCTTCCTCCCCCTCCCCCGATATGTTAATGTTACGGATGAAGATGCACCCCGGTACCTATTATTCAAACATCAACTCGATACAGGCCTTGTTGATATCTATATACGAGGCCGGATACACACTATCTATACTGGGAAGCGAACTTCCGAATCTATTAGCCAACTATCCGATCGAGTCCTGGGAGATGACAGCATCTCAAATTATTGAGGCTCTCAAGGACGAGATACAAGGCGGGAAATAGTTTCAAACGGCCATCAGAAGAAATACGAAAAGTTGATTAGCTCGTCCCGTCAACACTTGAGAGTGATATAAATCATCTGCGATTGTTCTACCAATACGAAGGAAGATGTTTTGGTTTTCTTAAAGGGGTATCTTCGTGATTGGGGGTGAAGTACAATTTTCCATATGCGGAGGAGGACCACAACTCACCCCTAGCTGTCCCAATATTCCAGATGGCTTCAACCTTGTTTAGTTCTTGACTGGGGTAGTCTCAACTCAGAGGATGAGATTTTTTTTTTGTTTTCTCGTGAACACTAGGCGTCGGTGTATTAGAATCTGGAAAGAGAGGCACCGGTAGTGACTGGTACGGGGGTTGGTAACAAAAGGCGAATTGGAAGGCTGCCTCTGCATGGTATTTTTGAGTATCCTACTGTACATTGAAACGTAGCTAATTATGTTCAGGCGCCTACTCCTTTGTCGCCTTTATATTTCGAAGCCTTCATCTGTGATGACGTAAACTACGAGATTTTTGTACCCCGATCCTACTGTTGACACCGTGCCAACGAGAATTACCAGGACCAAACGCCTCCGAGAGTACAAGGTGGATGATCTGCATGGATTACGCTGGTTATGCAGCCGAGTCCGGTAGAGTTACGTGCCAGAAATATGCTCATTATACCCAGGGAAGTTGGGAAGCCCGACTGTACTTGAACCATATCCTGCGATTCAACCACAGATCGACCCCAGATCCGGATTGAATTACTGCTTCAGCTGGAAAAGCTGACGATGGTATGATTCTCCAGGGTATGTAGTCAAATTCTCCTTGTATGAAGTG